TGCTGTTGTAGAGTTTCTCTGATGTTATCCTTCCATTTGTTCTTGGTCTACCTCATGCTCTACGTCCTTCTTCTCTTTCCATGTATGCTTTGTATGGTATGGTGTCACAAGGCATTCTCTCTAAGTGGGCAAACCATTTCACTTGCTGTCTTCTTATGTAATTTAGAATTGGTTCTGTGCCGACTTAGATGTTAGATGTTGTTGCAATTTCATGGCTGTATCTGCTATCAAGGCCTGGTCATCTGCAAATAGTAATTCGTTGATCTAACTAACATTTTCATTCATGGGAATATATTCGCTCTAAGTCGACTCAGACGCTGGCTCTGAAATGTCCTCATATATTGGCTCTAAGTCGACTCAGATGCTGGCTCTGAAATGTCCCCCCGGCATGGGCTTTGCGATCCAGAACATTAGCTCTGAGATTTCTCCACACAGTGGCTCTGAGACTTCCCTGAACATTGGCACAGATGTATCTCCAGCCATAGGCTCAGAAATGCCTCCTAATATTGGCATATTAGGGTTCCGAATGTCGGATAACAGATTTCACCAAACGTCATCTTTAATCTTTCAGTTACAAGGAAGCATTAGCTCAGAGACATACATAAATATCATATGTTAATCTCAAAATATTCACAAAATACCAAGAGCTTTTGGATGCAACCTCACACAGTCCTGCAAAGATTATGACTCTACCATATGCGGTCTCAGACCGTCCTGAAAAAATTATGAGGTGACCCCATGCTGTCTCAGACAGTTCTTTGAAAATGATGGAAAGACCAAACGCTGTCTTGGAGACTTCTGCAAGAACGAGCACGCGATCACCTCTCAGACAGTAGATGTAGCAGACGTGTAGGAGAAAGCTAGCCTGTATGAGGTCACGACAAGATCAGTAAGGTCCACAGAAAAACTGACAAAAAAGCGGCGTTGAAGTTTGACCTGGCCGTGTTGGTCGCTCCGCCGAAGTGCCGCTCATCTTTTTGAGCTGAAAATAAAAAAAAAAAAAAAAAACATGAATAATTCATGACAGTATAATATAATTTAGCCTAAAATAATAAAATATCAAACATAGTATACGTATTACACAATAGTATTTTGCACTACATTATATTACAGAGTGTATTAAAAAAAAGGCACTATGCACTATACATAGATACATTTTCATGACTGACTGACTGACTGACTGACTGGCGTTCAACCACACCAAGACTGCACGACGAGCAAACAACACCCGGTGATACAAAGTACCATGATTCGGATGTTAATCATCTGGGCTTGTCGAAGAAAGGCTATTCAACCATAGGTTATGTTTAGTACCTCACGACTACATTCGTGATGGGTGTTTAAATAACCACCCAAAAAAAAAAACAACAAAACGTGTCTCACATTAGGACGAGATTAGGGACAAGTAGATCATCTTTATTACCTCACGACTACAGAGCTAAGTCACAGACGGAAAAGAAAGAGATTAGATGGCGCAAGTAAAGATCAATTTTATATGTTTAGGCATGGAACATTGGGCGACAGAGCTAAGGATCACAGAATGGCGCAGCAGAAGTCAGAATGGTATAATGGAGCACACTAAAGCAGCAATTAGGTATATGTTTAAGGTTTTGATCACACGGGCGCAGCAGAGAGGAGGTTTTGATCACAATGTCGCGCAGCAGAAGTCAGACTGGTGTAAGGTTGTGATCACACGTGGCGCTGCAGAATCAGAAGTTCCACAAAGATTCATGGCAATTCTCGCCCATGTGATGTGATTATCTATACAGATGGTCCTGTGTTGAGAAGCAGACCAATTGCACGAGAAATCATGACAAAAGTGAAAGGACGTCGCTTAGTGCAACAAAGCCTGGCATATGACACCACAACACCTAGTTTGAGAATGCAGCTGGAGGGAATTACTGCAGCAATTCGACTGTTAAAAAAAAGGTAGAAATCGGTATGCTTCGTCAAAAGTTGCAAGTATCGCTGCAGAAATCCTGGGTAGTTAGCGTCCTTCGGATACTTTTCCCAGGTTTACTGGAGAGTAACAGGCATACAGACTTTCTGGTTCTGCACAACTTGGTGGTGACTTGATGCACGATAAGCTAAATGTTGTAAAGGCCTTTGGGGGTGGGGACACAAGTGAACAGTAAGAGACCACAGATCTGGTTTGAAGAGAATGGCAGCACTGCTAGGGATGACTAGAGGATCTGGTCGACGATCAGCACTCAAGGGAAAGGTGAGACGGATTTACATCAGACTGCTATTGGTACCACTGGAACTGGAACGCCGCACTTGCTGCTGAAGATAGGGACAAAGCGCTTATGGGAATTCCCGAGTGCCGTAATGTCGATTCATAATTACAAATTAAATATTAAACATGACATAGCATACAATTATTTAAAAACTGGGCTTCAGAGCTACGTTCTAGAAAAAGTACCAAAAAAAATTGTGTGTCGCGCCTTGAAAATGTATGTATGTACAGAGCACAGAGTAAGGGAAAGACAAAAGTAATGAGAATAAACCGGGCGAATTGTACAGTGATTTCTCCTAATGGTCTCCCACTCCAAGATATTGAGTCATACACTTATCTGGGCAGTAATGTAATGCTAAGAAGATGATGCCTAAGAAGAATGCTTGGCATTAAGTGGCAGAACAAAATCACAAACACTGAGGTACTGGAAAGAGCAGGTACTACAACATTCTTTGCCATGCTCAGTCTGCAAAGATTCAGGTGGCTGGGTCACACCTGGAAAATGGAGGAAGAAGACAGGAAGAAGATGTCGAGGCCGACCTCTACTATGTTATAAAGATGTTTGTAAGCGGGACGTGAATGATACAGGTATTGATGCGGATTCATGGGAACAAAATGCCATGGACTGTATTGTGTGTAAAGGGCATATCGGGAAGGGAATAAGACTGAAGGAAGAAATGATTGCAGAAAGGATGAGAGCTGAGCGTCTGAAAAGAAACGGATGAAACACAAATGTTGACAAAAATGATCCTGAAATCCCATGCTATCTTTGTGGAAGACTTTTCTTGACAAGGGCGGGTCTTGCTAGTCACACTCGCCATCGCCATGGGCTGTGAGTCTCATGCCTCCTCATAACGCAAAATAACACACTATCGTCTGGAAAGACGGAAAGGTGCCAATGATGAATGTAGGTGACCAGGAGGGGGAGAAGGAGGAGGAGAGGAAGAAGAAGACGAAGAAGAAGAACAAGAAGATGTTGAGAATACTACAGATAGACGAGAAAACAAGTCTTGGTGAATGTTGGAGGAAAAGGAGAAGA